TGGTCCTCGATTTTGGTTCTATAAAACAGGACTACCATAAGCCTTGCCCACATCACGAGACTGAGATGAATGTAAGCATTTTGTGTGTTACAAAGTTCTGTGTAGATGCAGATGATTAAATATGTACAGCAGGTCTGTACATCATAGCCCCAAACTGGAAATAGCCCAAATGGTAATCAACAGTGGAACGGAAAAGTAAATTGTGGTTTGTTCACATACTGGAATACGATACAGCAATAAAGAAGAATAAACCATTGCAACAGGCAAGAACACAGTTAACCTCCCAGACATAATTTTGAGTGAAAGAAGCAGACACTAAAACATACCACATGATCCAATTTCTATGAAGTTCAAAATGAGGCAAAACTAAGCTCTAATGGGACAAGTAAGAATAGAAAATACCTTTGAGGGATACTGACTTGGAAGGGAGCATAGGGCTGCTTCTGGGGTACTGGAAATGTTCTAGCTCTTGATCTGGCCCATATATACGTACCAATTTATTAATTTGTATACTTGATGGTACATGAATTATACCCCAACTTGAAAATGTAAATGACTAGAATTGTTATTAGGAGCATCATCTTTGTCAGAAGGAGGAGGGCTTTGGGGAAGGGAATTTAAAATGGTTTTGCTCTTCCTTCCTTCCTGTTCTCATCTCCTCCTCAGCCTCTCCCTAAACAGGAACCTCTTGTTTCTCAACATTCCTTTATTCCACTGCTTTCCTCCTTCACTGGAACCCCTACTACAGTCCAGGCACTGTTCTAGAAGCTGAGGGTACAACCTATTTCTCAACCCTCCTTTGTGCAATAAACATATTTAAATGTACTATAAGCTGAGCACTGAGGCCCTTCATTTGCCAGCACAACGCATTTCCTCTCAAGCAGGTCCAAATGGCAAAGAATTGGGCATAGACTATCTGGGATTCCTCCCATTCTTTGCCTGTGGTTCAAGAAAGGAGAAAGGTGCCTAATATGAGCTGACATGCATTTATCCTCTACTACCCAGCTCACATAGCCGGAAGGCAATAGGGGCCAAGTCCAAATCCAGGTATGTCTGATTCCTACATCCCTGCTCTTCCCACCACCCCTACAACCTCCCAGGAGCCAGGTCAGCCTAGCCCTTTCTCTGGGCGTCTGTGTAGTCAGCCTCCAAGATGGCCCCATTGGTTCTTGCCTCCAGGTATCATGTCCTCACATCAACTCCTCCCACACTCAGTAAGGATGACATGTGCAATCAATATGATATTGCAGAAATAATAGTGTTCATCTTCCAAGGCTAGGATATAAAAGACATTGTGACTTCTGCCTTGCTCTTTCTTGCTCACCCACTCTGAGGAAGCCAGCCACCATGTTGTGAGGACGCTCAAGCAGCCCTGTGGAGAGCTCCATGTGGTAAGACACTAAGACCTCCTGCCAACAGCCAACCCCAACATGCTAGCCACATGAATGAACCACCGTGGGAGCAGATCCTCCAGCCCCAATCAGGCTCTCAGATGACTACAGCCCAGCTGACACCTTGACTGTCAGCCCATAAGAGACCCCAGGCCAGAACCAGCCAGCAAAGCCACTCCCAAATTTCTCACCCACAGAACCTATATGAGATAATAAAGGTTGGTTGTTTCTTTAAGCTACTAAATTCAAGGGTAATTTGTTGTATCATATTACCATGTATAAAATAAGGTATCTCCTCTCAGTCATGAGTTCATGCTACAGCAACAGTCTGGAAGATGACATATTAAGGCATCTAGAACCAGCCAACTTACTAGAGGGGTGGCCAGAGCGGGCTGAACTTGAGAGGACAGGAGATGAACATCAGCAAGTAATCCCCAAACATGGGAGAAGAGCTATGAAAAAGGAGATCAAGCAAAGCAGAAATCCTCCCTAGAAATTTCTCACACATTTAATCTATCTCAGTAAATGGAACCTGTGCACCCACTTACTCTGGCCAAAAACCAGGGAGTCATCCTTGAGTCCATTCTCTCTCTCAACCCAACACCCCATCCATCAGCCAGGCTCTGGCCTCTACCACAGCATGTATCTCAGACCTAGCCCCTTCTCGCTGCCTTCCTCTAAGCACCATGGACTAAAGCCACCAGGATCCTTCGCCTGGGCAATCTTGGCAGACTCTTGCCTGTCCCCCAACTCCTCCCTTTGTGCCTGCTCAAGGCCAGAGTGCCTGCCATTCTCAAAGGAGAGATCAGATCATGTCTCTTATGCTCAAAACCCTTCAGGGCTCACTACTCTCCAGCCACATGGCCTTCTTTCTAGCATGACAAGCTCCTCTCACCTCAGGGCCTTTGCACTTGCTCTTTCCATCTCAGATCATTTGTAACATGTCTTGGTCTCATCTCACAATACTTCCTGAGACATTTTCCTGGGCCATTCTAGCCTAATCACTCTCTAACCCACTGCTCTAGCTTATTTCCTTCAAAATGTGTTTGCCTATTTACTGTCTGTCTCCCCTATTAGAATGTCAGTCCCATGAGGGCAAAGGCGTCATCTGTCTTATTCACCTAAAACTGTCAGGCATATGGAAAGGACTCAGTAAACATATGCTTAATTAATCCTGTCTAGAGTTTGGGGGATGGATAAGATGACCTCCAAGTTGATCTGGTTATAAAACCCAGTGGACAGAGCCTCACTACGTGCTCTGGGGCTCACATTGCCCTCCCTGACAGGAGGAAAAGGCAGGGCGGTATAAGAGCTGTGGTTTTAGGGGAGAAGCTTGCCAGCTGGATGGGGCTTACACCACCAGTGGGTCCTGTTTCCTAAGGAGGAAAATCCTATAAAAAGCCCCATCTGTCTGCCTGACCACTGCCCTGCCAGCCCACCTCTCCCCTTTTAGTTGGCCTCCTTGGCTGAGAACAGCAGGACCACTGCAGCCTGGTGCATTCTGAGCCCCCAGCATATACAAGAATGGCCAGGCAGGCTGCAGAAGTCATATTTGGCATCCTTCTGTCTCCACACAGGAGGCTGCTATACAATAAGGAGCCATCACCTTTCACACCTCTCCAGTCCCCCAGTCACCCTGCTCATCCCCTTAGCCCCTCTAAATGTATCAGCTGCTGCAAGAGATGGAAAGCAAACAGGAATGGGACAGGTAAAGATTAAGAAATGTCTGCCAGTGGGCAGGAAGGAACATTTAGAAGGAAGCATAAAGTCCCAGGGACAGACATGGGTGAGGAACTGCACTGTGAGACCTTGGCACAGTCATTCAGCCTTTGGGTGCCTCAGTTCCCATATTTGTACAACAGGTCTTTTGGCCTATTTTATGCTGTGATGGAATTAAAAGAATAAAATCAGATAATGTGGTTAAGTGCCTTCTAAGGCCTGAAGCACTGTACAAATGTTCATTGTTATTAAAAGAACAGGTGCAGGAAAGAGGGTAGGAAGGGGGTAGACTGGGGAGGAGCAAGGAAACCAGAAGGTTCTGGGGTTAAGGGTAGAAAAACTCTGCTCTGGATGAAGAGAACAAGGAGGGAGAAGCAGAAATTCACTCCTCACCATCTGGAAAAGAAAAGGCTGAGGGATTGAGAGAAGCAGAAGACAACAGAGGGGGCAGAAACTGTCCAGATAGGCCCACTGCAAGCAGGCCCTTTGCACCTCTGCTGGGAGTGCCCTCCAACCTGGGGTTTCCAAATGGGCAGACGCCCCCAGCAAAGTTGTGTACTTCACTTGAGCAAGGTCACTCAGGAGGAAGTGGATTCACTAGCGAACTGGCCTGCTCCATTAGCACTCTGCTCCAAGGTAATGCTTGGCCCTTGGAGCTACCAATTGATAATCATCAATTACTATGTTTTTTAGCACCTAGCATGTGTCAGGCACTGTGCTGGGCACTTCACACACATTACCTATTTCATCCTCATAATAAGCTTTCCTTATTCCCATATCCTCGGGGATGAAATGGAGGCTCAGAGAAGTCACATGACTCATCCAAGGTCACCCAGCTATTAAGAAGCAGAGCATGAGATACACCAGATATTGGGCCTCAAGTGCTCAAAGCTCCTTTCTGAAGCAACCTCCTTCCTCCTTCCATTCACTGAACTGCTTCCTGAAAGATCAAGTGTGAACAGCAAATGTGGAGGTGGTGGGCAGGGAGGATAGAAGCAACAGTGGGGGACAGTGCAGAGACTGACTACATAGGACATGTGAGGCAGGGCATTTCCACTTCCAAAGAGCTGAGCTCACCTGACAGAACATTCCCTTCCCAAATAATCCATCATAATCCATCCTCCACCCCACCCCATCACTACAGGAGCTGCTGTCAGCTGACCCACCACTCCTCATCCAGGCCTGTGGGATACACCAGGGCTCAGCCAGCCTGGCCAGCCACGACCCAGCAATCCCTCTGGACTCCTTGTCTCCGTTTTCCTCTCCCACCAAGACCAGCAAGGAAACACTGATGGGGAAACTGAGGACGAAGATGGGACTTGGCCAACAATGTGATGTTCACTCAGGAGGCTCCAGGCACAGCCTGACGCTGATCTCCAACCTCATTTTCCACCTCAACCCCACTTCCCCCACCTACCCGCTTCTCCTGCCTTCGGGGTCCTGTGGCCTTGACCCCACCCTGAGGTTTTCTAGGCTGGCCAACTAGGGCCCTTCACGGCCCACAGGGTTGGTGATATGCATCTTCCTTCCCCTGGAGCGCTCCGGCGCCCCCCCCCCCCAACACACTCCTGAGAACAAGGAAACGTACCTTTGAAGGTCCCTCTCTCGGGGCTCAGGTCCCTCCCGCCACTTCCAGTAGCCGCCCGGGCTTCGCGCCGCGCCCCCCACCCGGATTGCCCTCCTCCCCCACCCAGCCCTCCGCCCCCAGCTTTCGCCTTCACCTTGACCTGAGCCCGCTCCTGGGCCCTCAAGCTTTGCATAAACAAAGAGCGGGGTAGGGGACAACCCGGCACCGCCCCCGCCCCGCCGGAGCCCCCGCTGTGTCCCGAGGACCCCAGCCAGTCCCGTCCCCCGGCCCCCCGCGGGGACAGCCAGCCCATCGCCCCTTACCTTGGCCTGGCATTTCCGATGACAGGAGAAGCTGCAGACTGCAAGAGGGCGAGACACAGAAAGAAAGTTTAGCCGCGAGGTATGAAATGGAAACTCCGCGAAATCTCCTCCCACCCCCCGCCCGCCCTCGGCGCTCAGGAGGGAAGGAGGGACGGGAGGGGAGGGGAGGGGGGGCGGCTGCCGCAGCTCCCCGGGGCCGCGGGGCGGGCAGCCGGAGACTGCGGACCCGTGCGCGGGAGAGGCGCCCAGGCCCCATCGCCAGAGCCCTCGGCAGGCGCGGGAAGATGGAAGGGCAGGGGACCGACGCCCCCGCTGGATCCTGGCCAGGGGCTGAGGTGGCGCGGACCCAGGCCCCATGCCAGGCGCCCAAGGAATAAGGGGGCCCTTCTCCCCTTACACGCACACCAGGCAGGCAGCCGGCACCTGGGGAACCACCGATCATATTCACTCTCACCACTCCCCCCTCCCCAGAGACACACAGACGCAATTCATGGCCCAGGAGAGGCCCCATACACACAGATACACACTTACACCCATGTAGACACCCTCCAATAACCACTCACACCTATACACTCAGCCATTCATGCGCAAGGAGCCATATACACACATGTAACCTCACACACACACTCATGCCCAAGGAGAAACCTCTGACTTGGGGGCACAACGCACACACAATTTCATGGGAGACACTCAGAGTGCAGACTACCACAGAGGTGTTGGCAGACATGTAGACACATTCTCACACACACTCACAAACTTCATGCACATGAGTTCACACACACACACACACACACACACACACACACACACACACACACGAGGACTTGCTCTGCCCTCCCACTACCAGAATCTGGAATCAAATTTCCTATGGGGTTCCCTCAGCCTGGAATGTCTCAGCCCTGCCCACCCTACCCCCAGGGCCCTTCACTCAGGACCCTCCCTGCCAGGTCCCACAGCTGGGGAGAGGGGTCTACTTACCTGAACTTCTGAACTGACCCGGGCCTTGCTGGCAGCCCAGGGCCCACTGAGGTGGTAAGTTAGGGGCACTCATTAGAGAGCAGGGAGGGGGAGGCCAGGAAGCCACCTTGGCCCCAAATCCTCCACAGCCATAGTCAGCTACCCTGCCCCTTGGATCTACAGTCACGCAACCCCTTTCTGGTTTTGAGCCGGCCCAGCGCTCAGCACAGTGTAGCAGGGGAGACAGGCACAGAGGAAGGTCCGCAACCGCCGAAAGAGGCTGCAGGGCTCTGACACGGAGGCTGCTGGTGTGTCTGTGGGAGTGAGGCTGGGAGGGAAGCTCACGCACACCAGGTGGAGCCTGGGGTGTGACCTTGCCCACTGGCCCTCACCGGGGACCTTGCTCGCCCAGAACTTAGTCCTGGCCCCAGCTCAGGCCTGTGTCTCAGCCGGTGCTGAGCAAGGACTTCCTGACCGCACCAACCACAGCCCAGCTCGCAGACTTCTCCAACCCTAGCCACGCCAGGACATACCCATGCCTGGCCACCCAGGCAAGTCATGCCCTTCCATCTAGCCTGTCCGCTTCTCTCTTCCCCGCCACCCCAAAGTGGTAACTCTCCTGCACGGAGTGTTTCCACCCTGACCCCAGCAACCTTCCCAGCCCCAACCCCCATGCCTTCTTTTCTGGCCTTGGAATGTGGAACTGAGAAGGCCTCCGGCCATGTGTCCTGAGCACGGAAGGCCCTTCCAGCCAGGAGGGGCGCCACCTGCCCCAGGCCTCCAGGCAGAGGTGCCTGTCTTTTTCCTCTCCTAATCAAATCCCCAGTCTTCAAAATTAAGTCCTGGGCCCCTCCTCTGGAGCCCCCCCACTGTTGTTCCCTGCTTCTTGCAGGTACTGTCACAGAGCAAGCATTTCCCACCACCACCTCGGTCCCTGCAGTTGTGGCCTCCTTCAGGGGACAAGGTATCGTTCTCCCTCTCTCTCTCTCAATCTCTCTCTCTCTCTCTCTCTCTCTCACACACACACACACACTCACACATACTACACAGTGCCTGGTATGCAGGAGAGGCTTAACAAATGTTTGCTGAGTTGGACCTGACTGAATATCTCCCCTGGAGTTCATGTGCACCCCCATTTAATCATCCTTGCCCCACTCTCAGCCTTTTCCTGAGCCATAACCCTCCCCACAAATCTCATACACAATGAAAAAGGCATCCCTAAGTGTCCACTCCAGGCCTCCCAACCCATCTACACACTTAGAGCACAGTGAGAGCCAGGACCCCATATTCCTATAGCATCATACTTCTAACAGTTCACAGAATGCACCAAGATCTTTCCTACCTCAGGGCCTTTGCACTTGCTGTTCTGGCTGCCTGCTATACTCTCCATTGTTCATTCACCAAGCCAAATCCTTCTAATCTGGAATCCACTGAAAACCATCTCCTCAAAGAGGTTTTCCTTGACCACCCAAATTAGAGTAGGCTCCCCACTATTTTTTCTCAGCACCACCCTGATAATTTCCTCCTTAGCACAGCTCACAAACTGAAGTCATCTTGGGTAATTCTTGCCCCCTGATGTATGGTACACCTCTCCACACTAGACTCCTGAGGGCAGGGAGGGAGCATGCCTGTCTCATTCACACCATATCCCCACAGCTAGAACACTGTCAGCCCCATGCCCAGAGCACCAGATAACATCTTTGTGCAAATTTTAAAAAGTTCCGGCCTGTGAGCAGAACAGCCCCAGGGACATGCAGCTGAGTACAGTGTCTTGATGGAAATGACAAAAAAGGTGTCCTTTCTCCAGGCAGACCAGCCCTGGACCTGGGCACAGGGCTTGCTGAGCAAAGAATAGGCTGATTCCAGTGCTCTCTGGGTAGGCACCCTTGGCAGTGACTGGCCTGCAAACCATACAGGGAGCCCTCCCTGTCACACACTGGGCAGACGCTCACCAAATGCCCTTGAATGGAGGGCAGATGGAGAAAGTATTGGGCAATTGCAGCGCAATGTGCTGAGGGTGCCCTGTGTGCTGGAATGCAGAGAGCTTGTCCTTGAAAGCTCTACAGTGGGGAGTAAGGCAGACCGCCCCCTGCCCCCACCCAGCAGCAAATGCTCAGCAAACTGAACTCCAGTGCAGGTGTGGCCTAACCCCGAGGGTGGATTTTTACACCTTGGAAGCACCTGCTCCGAACTTCATGGAGGCCCTCTTGCCCTGGGGCCCCTCTGGGGAAGCCTCCTTCACAGTCTTAGCCACCTTTCGCAGGTCTCCTCCCACAGGGCAGTATTTCCTACTCTCTAACTGCATCCCTCCTGCTGTAATTTGACACTCGGGCCTGCCTTTCTGCAGGCTCCTCCCCTCCCAGATCACTGGCACAGTTCAGATGGGTTACAGAAGGGAAACTGTGGCAGCCAGCCTCCACGGCGGCCCACAGTATTTCTGACCTGGTATTCATACCCTCTCTAGCCTCCTCCCGCAACTAATAGGGCTGGTTTGTTCCCAGTCAGACATTGTAGAAATGGTGGTGGGTGACTTCCAAGGCTCTGTCAGCATCGCACTCTCAGCTGCGGTCCGTGGATCACCCGCTTGGGGGGAATCCAGTTAGCATGTTGTGAGGACCCTCGGGCCTGTGGAGAGGGCATCGTGGTGAGCAGCGGAGGCCTCCCGCCCCCAGCCAGCACCAACTTAGCTGCCACATGACCTAGCCACCTTGGAAGTGGGTTCCTGAGCCTGTCCGGCCTTTGTGGCTGCAGCCCCCAGCACACATCATGACGGCAACGTCACGAGATACCTGATCTAAACCACCCAGCCAAGTCACTCGGAACCTCCAACCTGCAGAAAGGAGGTAGGCAATCATTTGGTATGGGTTTTAAACTGCTTCAATTTTGGGGTCATTTGTTACCCAGCTACAGATAACTAAAAACCTGAGCACAGGGTCCCTCAGAAAGCAAGAGGCCAAAAGCTGAAGCGGGGAACAGAGACCAAAGGCCATCTCCTGGGTCCTTCCTTACTCTCCGGGTACCTGCATGCTCCTCTCTGTAATTCCTTCCCTTTCCTTAACCTACTGAGCAATTAGCCTTGATGTCCCAGCAAGTAACTCCAAAGAGGCTGTTGAATCCCAACCTTCCTCCCCACTCCCCCACCACTATACCAGTTCAGAACAGTTATCCTTCCCTGGGCCTCATTTCCCCAACCAGCCTTGTCCCCCTCTTCAAACCAGAGTGAGAGACTATTCTCAGGCACAAACTGATCACATCACATCCGAACTTAGAACCTTCTGTCCAGCTTTCCATCACACTTAGAAGGCCCTGCATGGCCTGGTCTTGCTTCTACCTCTAGCCGCTATCCCAAATGAGATCTCCTGTCACACCAAATTCCCCAAGTAGACTTTGAGTCTGCAAGGAGCAGGTCTGGAATGGTGAGCTCGTATATATCCTCCAAGGCCCTGTTCAAAATGAGCTTCCCTGAAAAATCAGACATTCAAAAATGGTTCCTCCCTCCTCTGTGTGCCTAGAATCTTCAGCTCACACTCCTGGAAAAGCTCTTCTCACCTTGGAGGTCTAAGTATTCCTTTATGACCTGTTCTTCCCCACATCCAAATGCTTCTCTAAGGCAGAAAGGGAGGTCGTGCTCAACTTTGCAGCTTGGTATCCTGCCCCTTCCCCAAGCACAGAGTCTGACATACAAGATGGGACTCAATAAATGTGGAATAAATTTCAAACTGGAAGGATTCTCCCCCGCCTAAATCCCTGGGACCAGGGCTGATGTTCTTGGACAACAGAATAGACACAAGAGAGGATAGATGAGCCCCACTCCTCAGCTCCAGCCCCTGCTGCAGAGCCCAAGTAGGGACCACAGTCAGTGCTCTCTCTGTGGGAGAGGGGGAGGACTAATGGGATCAATTGATCCTTCATCCACTTATCACTGGACCTGCTGTCCACCTACCCACATACCTACCTGGCTGCATGTAGACTGGCTCTCAGCACAGATGCAGGTCACACACTAGCTGTGTGATCTGGAGGAGTCATTTAACCACCCTGAGCCTCTTCCCCACCTATAAAACAGGAGTAATAACAGCATACC